GGTGAAATGGCAAGAAAAGTTAAATACTCTCCAGACCACTCAAAAGCACTTGCAAAGTGAATCTCTTAATATAATCATCTTCAATCCAACACCTGCAAAGCATTCATTAGTTTTGAGATCATCACAATACACAAAGCTCTATCAGACTAGCTTCTATACAAAATATCAGCAGTTCATCTTCAGTATTGAATTCACTTGCAATACAAGCAAATTGAATGATGAGAAAACCCTCACATATGCTCTTACAGAACTTGATTACATTGAAAAAGATCTCTGAAAGATTTACTGTAAAAACAACTTATTAAAGAATAACTGGAATAGCCTCAAGAAATTCCTACACACAAGACTAGAAGATCCAGCAAACTATATATAAAACTCTTGGCAAGCAATCTTTAATCTTTGCAAGAGTTTAAATAAAACTAATCATGTTTACTGCCAACAATTTCTAGAGCTTGCAACAGAAATTAGTGAAGAATTTAAAAGCTTTGAAAAAATGAAGAAGAATCTATATATAGAGAACTTGAATAAGCTCATATGAGCTAAACTGGATGAACAGCTGGAAATACCAGATGATATTAATGAGATAGTAGCACTGACTACCCAACTCTGACCAAGTGTGACAGCAGCTCTTGAAAAGAATGCCTCACATGTAAAGTCTACCAATTCAGTTGAAAGTGCTCACAGAAATATAAAGACTAATAACTCAAGACCACAAATAGATAAGAGAAGTTAACTTCAGAGACCTGCTCAGAAGATGGAAAAAGATCTTATCAAGAATTGTAAAGCTTTAAGAAAAGAAAAAAAGTGCTTTAAGTGTGGTCAAAAGAAGCATCTTGTGAAAGACTGTTTCAAGAAGAAGCATAGCAAATAGAAAATTAAAGAGCCACAAGTAGATAGAATTAATATAATGAAGTTGTTCAAGAAAAGTCTTCTTGCTCTTCTCTTTATTATTCTAGATGTATGAAGCTCAACTAACAGAAGTATCATCTGGTCAGCACTAATAGACTCTGGTTGTTAATCTCTAGTAATTAGTTCATGATTGGCTGCAAAGCTAGCACTAGAGATGCACAAGATACCTACAGAGACTGAAACTACTATAGATTATGAGAATGTTACTCTTGTGAAAGAGATTGTGAATATATTCTTTAAAGTCTGTAACTCTTAGAGAAACTGGCAGTTGTTTCATGAACAAGTGATGGTTGTAAATATAAAAGATGAGATGCTAGTGAGTTTGAGCTAGCTGCAGTAACACAATTTCAAGATATATTTCAGAGAACTAAGGCTAGAGTTTCAAACTGTATGTTGTAACCTGCTTGTGAAAGTTAAACCAGTTAATCTCTTAGAGCTAGTGAAGAAAGAAAAGCTCATCTATATAATAACTTTCTGTAAATCAGAACAGGTGGTGACAGCAGATCTAGATCTCCAGATACTGGAAGCCTACTGTAAACTTGTGAAAGTGTTTAGCAACAAGAGAGCTTGAGAGCTGCCACCACATTATAAAGATAATTTGGCCATAGATCTTGAGCTGGAGAAGCAGCCAGAATTTGAAAGAATATACAGATTTTTACAAGCTGAACAAGAGACTCTTTATAAATATCTGAGCAGTACTCTAACTCATGGGTTCATTCACTCTTTCAAGTTATCTACAGGAGCACTCATTTTGTTCATGTTCAAGAAGAATAGTAGACTAAGAATGTGTGTGAACTATCATGATCTGAATTCAAAAATGGTCAAGAATAGATATTCTTTACTACTGATTAAAGATATGTTGTATAAGCTTGCAGAAGCTGCAATATTCACTCAGTTGAATATCAAGAATATCTACTATAGATTGAGAATTTGTGAAGAAGATAAGTAGAAGACTATATTTCAGACTTTACAGAAGCTATTTAAGTACTTGATAGTATTCTTTAAACTCACAAATACACCAGCAGTCTTTCAATTGTATATTATAAAGACACTTAGTGAATATCTAAATGTATTTACAGTGGCCTATCTTGATAATGTGGTTATGTACTCAGCTCACAAGAAAGATCATGAGAAGCATGTGAAATTAATACTTAAGATACTCAAGAATACAGGTCTTTATTACAAGCTGGCAAAGTGCAAGTTCAATACTTGCAAGATTGACTATCTTGAGTATATTATAATATCAGAGAGTGTTCTTATAGAGAAGAGCTGTATAAATACTATTCTTGACTAGCTAGAGCCAACCAGTAAGAAAGAGGTTCAGATCTTCTTAGAATTCACAAACTTTTACAGGTGCTTCATTCCAAGATTCTCTAAGATAGCTTGTGGCCTGACTGCTCTTCTAAAGAAAGAAGAAGCAAAGCTAAGCAGGTGTATATAAAAAGAGATGAGAAGAGAGATTAATACTTTCATGACTGAAAAAGATCATAAAGTCTTTATAGATCTGAAAAGAGTGTTTGCAGAAACTGTTATACTTTATCATTTTAATATAGAATGAAAGACCAGACTAAAAACAGATGCATCTGGCTTTATGGTGTGTGATATTCTATTACAGCTGGCAAAGAATGGTGTTTGGGTTCTAGTTAGATTTTATTTATAGAAGATGCAATCTGTAGAGATAAATTATGGCATTCATGATCAAGAACTGCTTATAATTATAGAGTCATTTAGATATTAGTGCTGCTGATTAAAAGACTTGCAAACACTAGTTCAAGTTCTTACAGATTATGATAGCTTGCACTATTTCTAGACTGCTCAAGATCTCTTGTAAAGATAGATCCACTAGACACAAAGACTGACAGTCTTTTAATTTACAGTTGACCATATGAAAGAAACCAAGAACCTGGCAGATAAACTCTTGTGAAGATCTAATTATATTAAGAAGACTGGTCTAGATGATACAGAAAGTCACAAGACTGCAAACTAACTAAGAGTAATGCTTGCAAAGAAGCAAGAGACTACAGAAAAGTTAAAACTAATAGTTCAAGTTTCTCTCAACCAGAGAGAAAAAAAAGAAGATGAGAATATATAACTTATCTCTGTAAAGCTTCAGGTTGTAACTAAGAAACTACTTACAAAGATTGTCTTGAAAGACATATGTAAAGTGAAAAGATTACAATACAGGTTTAGAAGATCAAAGACCTGATTTATAAGAAGAATTCTTATGAGAAGAGCAGCTTTAATCTGTTGGCATTATTGCCAAATCTACTGCAAAGTGACAACTATACAGCCAAAGTCCATGAAGACATTAAGACAGGCATGAAGAAATTTGTGATGTGGAAAGAGAAGAAGAGCATTCTCTATAGAAATGATTACATGTACATCTCTCAGAATAAGATCTTGCAAATAAAGCTGATCAGGCATCATTATAATTTATCTCTTACAGAGCATTTTGCTACAGCAAGAACATACAAGCTTATAGCTTACAAATACTTTTGGCCAAGAATAAGAGAACTGGTGAAGAAGTATTGCAAAGTCTGTGAAGTCTGCCAGAACTCAAGAAGAGTTTATAAGAAATTTCAAGAAGAACTATCATTCTTACTAATTTTAAATTACTCTTGAGAATCTATTAGCATGAATATTATTACAGATCTCTCTATAAGCCTGAATTTTGAGAAGGTGCAGTTTGACTGTATTCTAGTTGTAGTGAACCAGCTTACAAAGATGGCTCACTTTATCTCTACAATAAAGAAGCTGACATCAGAGAAATTAGCTCATCTCTTTGTTTGTGAGATAGTGAGATTGCACAGATTATCTGCAAGTATAGTAACAGATCAAGAATCTCTGTTTACAAGTAAATTTTAAAGTGATTTGACTCATATCTTGAAGATCACAAGAACAATAAGTACAGTATTCCATCTGTAAACTGATGATCAAACTGAGAGACTAAATAGTGTGCTAGAGCAGTATCTGCAAAGCTATATCAATTATGATCAAGATGACTGGATGATGTGGTTGCTAATAGCAGAGTTTGCATACAATAACTTACAGCAGGTCTTTATACAGAAATCACTCTTTCAGCTGATATATGAATTAAATCTATAAACAAATCTGTTGAATTCTGAGAAGTATAGTTATATGTGCAAGAATTTAAAAAATCAGGCAGAGATAATAAGATTACTTTATAAGAAGGTCAAGAAATTGCTTGCAAAGACACAAGTCTATCAGAAGAAGTACTATAACCAGAAGCACATCACAAAGACTTTTCAGATAAAAGACAAGATATAACTTGATCTTCACAATATCAAAACTATACAGCCTAACAAAAAATTGGATTTGTTAAGGCATGAATCTTGTAGAATTATAAAGAAGATAGGCTTGCAAGTCTACAAACTAAAGCTATCTTCAGATCTGTAAACTCATAACATTTTTTATATATTTCTGCTCCACAAGCACAAGATCTGTAAAGAAATTGATAGCTTACCTCATCATAAAGTTCACAAGATAAACAAGAATGAAAAGAAGTATTGAATCTGTAAGATAATTAACTTAAAGAGAGAGAGTCATAAGCTGTAGTACAGAGTATATTGGGAAGATTATGATAATAAGAAGAACAAGACATGAGTGTCTGCAAGTAATATCTGTTCACTGAGAAAGCTACTCCAACAATTTCATAGTAGAAATCCAGACAAGTCTGGTTTGTGAAAGAGATGAATAGAGGTAGTAGAGCTAGAAAATAAGTTAGAGAGAGAAAAGATATAGTCTGAACTGAATCAAATTAATTTTAAAACAAGAAAAAGAACTAAGCTAAGAATTATATAAGAGTCTCTGGCTTTCTCTCATAAAGATCTGTAACAACTATCTATAATCTTACTGCTGGAAAGAGCAAGCAAGATGCTAACAGTATAGACAATTGTTATACTTTTAATTCAAGCCTGTAGAGATGCACTCTGTAAAGACTATATTATTATAGTCTTGCTGAGCTCTCTTGCAGGCAGAGTACTTCTGTTCTGATAGCAGCTGGACTCCAGCTCAAGTTACAAGAATATTCTTACAGAGCTGGATACAGACAGCCAACTGATTTAGATTATTCAAACCGGCAATAAGCACAGATCTTTGAATAGGCTCACAACATCATGTCTTTTTACAGATAGATAAAGCTTGTGCTCCAGTATAGAGTAGAAGGTCTGAGAGAACCACCAGATTGATTTACAATACACCAGCAAAAGTACCAGCTGGTAGTAATTGGGTGAAGATAGTCTGAAACCACTATTGTCAGTCTTACAGAGGGGGTACTAGATAATTTCAGATACTCTACAGAACTACAGCATTTATAAATTCTGTCAGAGCAGAGAAAACAGCAACAACAATCTAGAGAGAGTTAGCTACAAACTGAAATATGATAGAGAATACTCACATTTCTGGCTGGGGCCAGTGCAATAACTATAAAGAAGAAAGACAGAGCAGCAGAACTCTAACTCTATTAGCATGTGAATCAAATGTCAGCTTACAAGAAGTACTTACAGCTTGAACTAGCAGAGAAAAAGCAGTAATAACTAATGAAAGAGAGAAAAAGAGAGAAGCAATAATACTCTAGAACTATCAGTCATAAGCACTTCTCAATCTTTCAGAACTACTCATTAAAAGCCTAATATCTTTTATAAAGGGGGGGATGGGGGTCCTTCTGAGAGAGAAGAGAGAAAAGAAGTCATAAGAGAGAGAAAGAGAAGAGAGTAAACCAGCAGCTTCTAGCAAGCATCAGCATCTTTATGAATTAAACTTCACATAAAGATAAAATCTTATAATCATGTGAAGCAAAGGCATAACCAGAAATGAACTTACTAACTTGTAGTCTTGCAGTCAGACAGACAGAGTATTAAGATGTAGCTATAGTTTTCTTTCAAATATCAGAGATCTCTTGCAAGCTTGTCTCCCATACAAAGCAGTGCTTGAAGGGTTTACTTATTTAGATAATAATAATATAAACTAGAGAAGAAAGAAAAGAAAAGAAGAGAAAGAGAAAGCAAGAGAAAGCTCTTTCTTAAGCTAGTGTTCATTATCTAATAATAACATGAAGCTAGTGAGAACAATAGAGACTCTCTACATATTATTATGTTATTGAGCTCTGTTGTGTTGTTATGTTGTGTTGTGTTATTAGAGTTGTGTTGATATTACATCTCTAGTGAGGCTGTACTTTTTTTCTTATAAGAAAATTTTTATTTTTCCCAAGAGATTTTGTTTTTCTACTCATGAAGATTTTTAATGAGACAGCTGTCTTAAGGAATCAAGACTTACAAGAGGGGAAAATCTGTAAGAATTTGCCTGCAAATCTCTTATACAGATGAACAACATCTATAAAAGTTCAGGGCCTCAGCTCACAAGCTATTAGAAGTACATGTATTCTTGTGAGACACTAAGTCATGTGCTTATAAGCACACATAAAAGGCCACTACTACATAAATCTCTTGTTAAAAGTCAGTAGCAATCTTGTCTACAAGTTATATATAGTTGCTAATACCAGATCTTTTATCTTGTGTACTCTTTTTCACATACAATTTCTTCTATAGATTTATTGTCATGCTGATCCACATGTACAATTCTTACAGTTTCTCAAGAAGCATCTGCAATAGTAGATACATATAGATGTTTATTAGTAGCATGTCTTCAGTATTAATATCAAGCTTGAACAGTTAATCTGATGGAAGTCTTGATAGTAAGTTCTTAACTTTAAATTCTTAACAGAAGTATTTTTCTTTTTCTTCTTTTCTTTTCTTCTATCTTTTATCTTTAGAATATAAACATAACACTCTGTTAACTTCTTTTGCAGAGCATGAGCTAGCTGATAATCTGTTATTAGATTTAGCTTGAGATCATCAGTATTAATGTGCTGTCACATATCACAAGATAATATCATGTGTGTTTATTTTTGTCTATTAGTGATATTTATGCATACTGACTTCCAACTTATATTCAGATCTCAAGTTTCTAGCCATGATCTTCTCAAGATCAGTTTATAATTGAAGTTATTGAGAACTCTAGCAGCAATACAGTATTTAAAAATGCCAAGCTTGAGATAAAGATAAGTTCTGTAATTTAATTACATATATTTTCTGTTTAATAATTTGATAGCTTTCTGAAAGAGAATTAACTTAACTTCTATCTTTTCCACTAGAGTTTTGTTGATAAACTTGATTAATGCACCAGAATTCAACAAGATCTTTATCTTGACATTTCTGTTGGTTTCAGATGCAATAATCTTTATGTGATAAAGTATTTGTTCTGATTTTGTGATGTTAAAATGTTCAGTATTAAATAAGATAGTAAGTAATTTAATCTTGAAAATCTCTGCTGGATTCAGTAGATCAGGAAGATCAGAGATCTCATTAAATGTAGAGATCTTATATAGAGTATCAGTAAGTATTTCTGTATTTACTGACTTTACTTTTTTTCTAATCTGAAATTAGTATTAGCTTTCTTCTTCTTTCTCTTCTTCTTCTTTTCATTAGTTCTGTTCAGGTATTTGACTAATCTATGATCTTTCACACCACAATTATAACACACATTATTATGATAATATTAGAGTTATCAGGCTTAAGAGTTCTTTCTTGAAGAATTTGAAGTCTGACAGAAAGTATTAATCTTCTCTATCTTCTCTTCATTAAGAATAAAGACTAATATACTAAGATTTATTATATCAGACTTAAATTTATCAAGATTTCTCTAAGTAGTTCTACTTCTTGATATTTCTAGAGATTCTTTAATATCTTTTAGAACTTTCACAATTTTATCTTTTATTATTAACTTGTGATATTCTTTCTTTCACTCTGTTAGAATATTATTTTTTAGTTCTTTTAACAGTAACTAAATATAGACAGGCTCTGGTAGTAAGTACTTAAGTTTGATATATGCTTGATTGAGCTTGATAATATATAATTAGATATCTTTTTTTTATTTAATACTTATTAATTATTTTCATTAAGTGTCTTTAGTGTTGAGTTCTAAGTATCAGATAATAATCTAGTCTTTAAAATCTTGTCATGTATCAGACATATAATAATTGTTTAAGTTACAGTCTGCTAGATTTTCTTCAGTAGCTTATCTTTTTGCAGTATTGTCTGTAAGCCAGATAGATGCTAGAGTAACTTTTTAAGCATCAGTTATAACTCTTCTGATAAAGATGAGTTTCCTATTCCAGTACAATCAGTATTAGAAAAGCTACTTATTAACTGTATTATCAGTTACTTTTTTACTGTATTTTTTAAGTTTCTCAAGTTTCAAGACTTTTTAAGCAGAAGACTTACTATTCTTTAGTTTTAACTTCTCTAGTTAAGTATTATATCATGCAAGCATTGCTATTTGAAGTTCTGCTAGATAATTTAAGTTCTTGCTCATCTTGTTTCTCAGGCATTGAATCTCTTCTTCTAAATCACACTCTTATTTTATATCAGCTCTCACTCTTCTCTCTTAATAACTGATATACTAACTTTCTGCAGTAATAGTATTAACAGCTGTATTAAGCTGACTATAGACTGTATGTAATGTTAAGTTATTGACAAGTACAGTATGCAGAGTATTTATAGCAGCAGCTAATGCCAAATAATTCAAGATGTTAGACTTAGGTGTAGAGAATAAGATGATACCAGAACAGTTGAAGATAGAAATCAAGAGATTTTGATCAAGATTTATCATATTGAGATTTACAAAAGAATAACAATAGATAAGTTTTGCAAATATATCAAGAATTGTAAAGCTATTGTAGATAATAGTATTGTTTTCTAATAAACAAATATTCAAAAAAAAGAAGATAGATATTTATCTTGTAAAAAGATACTCTTGTAGAGTCTAATCAAGAATGCAGATTTTCATAAAGAGTCTTTATTAGACACTTATATTCTGTATTAAAGAATAATTAAAGTTGATTATATATTAATTTTCAAATTATAGAACAAGATCTTGACCACTCTGTTGATGATGTATTATAAAGATATATATCTGACAGAGAGATAATTTTTTGACATGCTACTAGATATGATCTGAGAATAGAATTACTTGAGTCCTCTGAATTAAAAAGAACTGAGCTATCTCCATATACATGACTATAGATCAATATCAGAAGATATCAGAATCTATTGAGGTTTGTAGACTCTGATAGAGCATAACTAAGAAAAAAACATACTATACTGTACAGTGTAAATATAAGAGAACCAGAAAGCTATTATAATATTAATAAAGGTCTTTCTTGATTATTTTTATTCTTAGCTAATAAAAATATCAGAAGAATGAAGTGTAGATAGTATCAATATTATATTATTATCTTGTTAGATAAGACAAAGTACTTTGTTCTGCTCTAAAATATATAATAAACTTTATAAAAGTGATTTAGTATAATTATTTTACAGTTCTTAAAGAATAAAAGATATTTCTGAAGAAGAACAAGCAGTTTCACATACTTTATAATCAGTATTATATAATTATCAGAAAAGCTGAACAGAATTAAAGTAGTTATTTATATAAATTAAGTATAAGGCTACTAAAGAACTAATACTTAATTTAAGACTTCTTCTCATACTATTAGATTCTTTATTAGAGATCTCAGATAGTCTTCTAATTATATTCAATATTATTAATGCTGTAGATAAGAGATTATTCTCTCTAGTCATTTTTTTAATACTCAGCTGGCAACTTAATTAGAAGAAAGTTCAAATATACTTACATTCTGCTAGAGTAAATATCTTGTACCTCTGTTGAATTAACTTTACTAATATCTTAACTATATACAAGCTTTATTCAAAACATTAAATCATTATCTTATTAATAAAAATATTAAATTCAGAAATGTAGTATTTCTGTACAGCTTAATAAAAATATAAAATAAGAGATTCAAGCTTATATTATTAATTCTTTAAGTTAGAAAACTATAGCTCATCTTTTGTGATATTAAAAATGTAAATGAATCTCTTCAGTTATTTAAAATAAATAAGCAATATGTAAAGCTATAGCAGATAAAGTAGCTAATTTTCAGTATGCTAAAAATAATATTCTATTTATAAAGATCTGTAGACTTCTATATATATAATTATACTAAAAGAAATCTTCAATTCTGCAGTATTTGTGTCTTTTCAAGGTCAGTTTTGTATAATAAAATTCTTATTAAGAGACTTGCATTTCTTTTTAATATATATATTAATTGCTCAAGCAATTATTTCAAAGATATTCTTGATAAGAAAAAGAGAGAATAAAGTATAAAAATTCTTAATATTAATATCAGAAGATAGTTTAAGCTGTAGTTCTTGAAGAATAATATATAGTAATTAATAGAAGACTAATTTAATAAAGATAAGCTTTGTAATAATATCTTCTAGCTTGCACTTTTAATTTAAAGAGATTTCTACAGACTTTGCAAAATAAATCAGAAATAAATCAGAAATATATTAGCTAGAAATATCTTTTAAACAAGTTTTTTAACTATAGTTAAGATATTAAAGAGTGCTGTACAGAGTACAGAGTATGAAGAACAAGATACAAATTTCTATAAAAAGATATATTGCATCAACACATTGCAACTTTATTAATGAATTCAGATGCTCTAGTTAATAGATTTATATTTTAATTTGTGGTGACCTCTATATAAGTAGTATGAT